GTCAGAAGCAGCAGCTACATATTATCAGCCCCTGACTGTTTGCCAGCAGCCAGTAACAGCCTTCATGGGGGCCCATATGGGTCTCTATGACATGCATAACGTGAAAATATTATAAGCCGAGGCTGCAGTTTGCATGAAAGAAATGGGGCCTAATGCATTGGCTGGCAGCTTCAGAGAGCTGGAACAGTCATTCATTGCAGGATCAAATGGTGGGAGGGGGTCCGATAGCATGAATTGTAGGTATGTGAATTATATGTATGTGCGTGGGTGTTTTAATCTCTTCCTTTATATGGGTAATAACCCCTTCCTTGCTGTGCTTTAAGCCTTTCTGCTGTAAATGTGTCTAAGATAGCTCTTTCTCTGCAATGTAATGTTTGTGTATATATAAAAAAAATTCTATCAGTGTGAATTAGATTATTTTCTCCAGCATGTGTGAAAGTGTGCCAACAGCGTGTATTACAAACCTGCTTTCTGAAACCAACAGTCCTTGATTCAGCATATCAGTCCCAATTAGGAGACCCTGCCCCAAAGTACCAGATAATTTTTTTCCTTGTACCCCATTTCCAGGGACACCAAAAACAAGACCCCAGTAAGCGCGCTACCAACACATTATTAGACACGCTTGCTTGGCCAAAAGTAAACTAAGCGTTCAGCATACGTGAGAGTGCTTCAACAACGCTCTGTGTATGGGCTACTTAGTAGGAAGGCCATTGTGACTACCTATGAGCCTTGTGTGTGTGCACGCAAGTGTAACACTCCCCCTTTTGTAGAAGAAAACTGCTCCTTTTAAGGGCAGACCTGCAGACAGTCCTTGTGTCACAAGTGATTCATATAACATATGAGCACTTTAGCTTATTGAAAAGCTTTCCGTCCGGCATGTTACTTCCTGGTTTGGTTAGCTCCGTGTAGCTGAACTAAAGAGGCAGCAACTGCCCAGTGCACTTACCTTGCAAAGACAATTCATTGAGCTGGGGGGTGGGGGGGGGGGATAAGGCTTGCAAAGGCAGCAGACAAGAGAACTGTAGCTTTTTCAAGCTGTTCTAGATATACTGCTAATTAAAGTATGCATAATTAAATCCATGCATGCTTTCATTGGGGGTATTTCTTCTAAACAGTGTTTTTTATTTATTTAATATTTGGGAAGTTCCCGACCCTCTACCATATTCTAACCACAATCCCTTTATTACATCTCCTAGTGCTTATACCTTCTCCTTACTCCATCTTCTTTCCCCATACTAACAGGTTAATTATGCGTAGTGGACATTTTACGTTTCCCTTGGTCACTGCTCTTACCTGCATGCTGAAAGAGAAGAGTGGTAGAAGAAATATAATAAAAATCATATTCAAACCCCATCAATTAGCAGACACTCTGCCATGAGCAGAGGGAGGTAGTCACCAAGGAATGTGTAGAACAAGCACTGCACATGATTTTATTCTTAAAATATTTCTGTCAGCTATCAGCAGTGCCCTGGCTAAACTTTCCTCATACTGCATTGCAGAGAAGAATTGTAGGTTTGCGGAATAAGTGCCAGGCACCAGAAACTTCTGCCCCATAACATCTTAAATGTTTTTATGGGTGTTGTAGTGTTCATTTAAAATATTCAGTCAGATTCAACAAAATACAACCAACTTTCTACCTCCTTCAAATATTCTGTTGTCTAACATTTTCTACTTCACCTGACCTGTAACTTTCCCCTGATTGGCCACATGTGTCACATGAGTCCAGTCAGGGCCGGCCTTAGGCCTTTAGGTGCCCTGTGCGAAAAATCCTGACAGTGCCCCCCCCTTCATCCATGTATAGTGTGTGTGTGTGTGTGTGTATTGGGGTGTAGTGTTTGTATAGGGAACAGTCATGCACACAGTAATACACACACACTTGCAGTCACACACAGTTACAGTCACACACACACAGGCAGACAGTCTCTCACACACACACACACACACACACACACACAAACAGTCTCACACAGACACAGTCTCACACACACACAGTTACAGTTTCACACACAGGCAGAAAGTCACACACACACAGTTACAGACACACACACACACAGTTAGTCATACATAGTTACAGACACACACACAGTTACAGACACACACACAGTTAGTCATATAAAGTTACAGACACACACACACACACACACACAGTTACAGACACACACACACAATTACACACACACACACAGTTACAGACACACACAGTTACAGAAACACACACACAGTTAGTCATACACAGTTACAGACACACACACACAGTTACAGACACACACACACACAGTTACAGTCATACACAGTTACAGACACACATACAGTTACAGTCATACACAGTTACAGTCATACACAGTTACAGACACACACACAGTCACAGACACACACACACACACACAGTTATAGACACACACACAGTTACAGTCATACACAGTTACAGACACACACCCAACTGGAAGGTTACCTCTCTCTATTATGGCCAGTAATTGTAATTGAGAAGTGGAGGCAATACAGCTCCTGGAGTTGTTGGGGAAGCAGGTACTCCTTCCTGCTTCCCTTTTCCTGTGCGGCACCAACACCGGCTTCTGGGCGCACTTAGCCCCGCCTCTGCTTCCATTTATAGCCCCAGCGCCCCAGTAAGCCCCACCCACCGCCCCAGCACCCCAGTAAGTCCCGCCCACCCGCCCCAGTAAGCCCCACCCACCACCTCGATAAGCCTCACCCATTTGCACATGTGTGTTTTAGGATAGTCGGCTACCTGAGTGGTGAAAAATGAAATCCTCCACCAGGGTAGTAGATGCACACAGTGCACATCCGGCCATGTGAGTTGTGTCTGCTGCCAGGGCGCCCCTGTTGCGAAGGAAGACCGATACTTTCTTTGAATTCCAGTGATACAAACTCCAGAAAAATGGCCAGTTGTTTTTTATTTATTTTTATTTATTATTTTTGCAGTACATGGTTGAACAAACACGCTTGTGCTGCCACAACAGCAGATGCAAGCGAAGACAAGTGCACAGTATAAACATTTTCGTGGCATGCAATATCGGCACAATTTTTGTTATTAAAGTCACGCTAGGTAAATATATTTAGGACGCTGGCTTAGTAAATACGGTAGATACATTAGCTTTGGTAGTGGGTAACTAGTGAGAAACAGTATGATAAAACAACTAAGCGTATCTGTGTGAACAGAACATGTATGGTGTACTGTATGTGCTATGTGTGCTAGTCGTCCCGTGATATGTGGCAGGCATATATGGTAAATGATGGAATAAGTACATAAGCTTTAGGCTGGAACTAGTTATGCTCGCTAAGCAGGTTAAGTTATGTGGCTGGAATGCAAGTTAGATGGAATAGCGTAAACTAGAATGAAATAAACATGCTTTGCTAATTATAGGCTGATTCAAGGGTGTAGATAGTCACTGTGGTCTGGGGTCCTCTCGAGTGTCATGCTGCCCGTTACATTCCATGTTCTCGCTTGTGTGGCATGGTAGGACGTGGTTGGTTTGCAATGAGGTCAGAAGGCCATGGGTAGAGTCACTTTCATCCGATGCCTTCTTTCATGTAGCAGCAGGAGCCTGTGTGTGGGTTCTGGCAGTTTGGTGCTGCACAGGTATGAGTGAGAGTGTCCCTCCAGCCCCAGGCTGGTGTGCAGGCCTGCATCTCCTGGCAACACACTCGGCCACCTCTGGGGCCCAAGTGTTCTCCCCGTGCGGGAGTGACTGAGACTGAGTGACTGAGAATCTGACGGTCAACCGTCTCTTATGGTGTTTGTGCCTCCGTGCATGTGGGCGATGTTTTCGGGTTTTCAGCCCTGTGGTCTGCAGCCCGGGTGGGCCAGGAAGATTGTGGGTGGTCTGCACCCAAGGGCTTTCCCCTCACCTCTCGCCGCCTGCGGTTCCGCTCACCTGCTGTCTGTGTTTCAGGCATGTGTCGGCAGCATGCTCTGCTTTTACAGTACGCTGCCAGCCACCATCTTGGAAGCGCCATGTGGAGGGCTGTTCCTCCACGGCTTTGGTTCAGGCTTGTGTTGAGCTCCTGGCTAGCTGCCCCAGACGTCTAGTGAGGACCGGGATAACCCCCGTCGGTTCATGGGGTGGGGGGTAGGCAGAGAGTGTGCTGAGGGGTCCACTCGAGGCTTTGCCGTCATGGAGAGCGCCCGTCTCTCCCTGGCTCGGTCATGGGTAAACCCCATTTGTTTTTGCGGGTTTCCGGGTAGTATATGTCACGTTTTTGGTTTTGTTTGATGACCCCGGGTTTCCCCATCATCTCTCATGCCTTCCTGCTCCAGTTGTGTACTTAAAGGAACACTCCAGCATCAAAAATAAATCAATTTTTTTTAACAGTGGCGTATTTTTGTAGCTTTAGACAGTCTCTTCACTGTAAGCCGCTCCACCCACTCTGAGATCATCAGTTAATCAATGATCTTGAGTCCAATCCAATGCTTCTCATACACATGCACAGCCATCATCGTCAGGGCCATCTTTAATAACGAATGGACCCTGGACAAGTGTTTGCTTGGGCCCCCTGGGCCCTGCCGCTCTCGCCCCTCACTCCCTGGTATGCAATCACGGCATCCATCCCAACGCAGTGGCGGTACTAAAGTAGAATTAATTTTATTGGGACCCCCAATTGCTAGGTTGGACTAAAGGTAGAACCCCATCTGTCATGCAACTCCAACAATGCTTTGACAGCTGGGACTCTACCAATTTCCCATGCTTGCAGGGTTGTATTTAGCACTGAGCCATGTTTGTATGTTTGAATGTAAGGATGTGTTTGTATGGAGTATGTGTTTGTATGTGTGAATGCTACTGGATGGTACTGGAATGGTACTGGAGTTTGAATGCAAGTGTGCATTTATGTGTAGTGTTTGTTTTTGAATGTAGGAGTGTGCTTGTATGTAGTGTTGACGTTTCAATGCAGGAGTGTGTTTTATATGTAGTGTTGAAGTTTGAATGGAGGGGTGTATTTGTATTTAAAGTTGCGGCTCAGATGCACAGGTACACACTCTGACACACAAGCAGATACACAGATACATACACTGACATACATACTGACACAGGTACATATATTGACACACACACAGACACATACACTGGTAGACGTACTGACAGACATACTGACACAGGCACATATACAGACATACAGACACATATACCGACATACTGACACACATACACAGACACATACACTGATCAACATACTGACACACATACACATATATACTGACACAGACAGACAGACATACTGACACACACACACAGACATACTGACACACAGACAGACATACTGACATACACACAGACATACTGACACACAGACAAACAGACATACTGACACACATGTAAAATGTAAATTTTTAAACCCACCCTCCAGTTTCCTACCTTTTGCTGGAGGGTGGCTTCCCTGGAGTCCAGTGTGGTGCCTGAGCATGATGGGAGTGAGGATCCTCCATCCTCACTGCAGCCGCGTCCTCTCTTCCTCATGACTCCTCCTGCCAGATTCCGTGCAGCTCCTCTGTTTATGGGAGGAAGTGACTTGCGGCAGTCACTTCCTCTCAGCCGGCTGCCGGAAAGCAAGGGGCCCGGTCGCAGTGTTAAAGGGCAACAGCGCCCGACTGGGCCCCTGCTGATACAAGCCCACTGGGTGGCCCTAAGTGCATGGGCCACCCGGTGGGACTCAGAGGATGGGGGGGAAAATAAATTGATGAGGGCAGCTGGGCCCACGGGGCAGGTGCCTCGGGCCCCCCAAGAGAAACTGGGCCCGGGGCAGCTGCCCCGTTTGCCCCGCGTTAAAGACGGCCCTGATCATCGTGCTCAGCTTATCTAATTCTAATCATTTTTAATTTGAAACATGTGCCTTTCACTTTAAGTGAGTTTTTAATGCAAGTGAGACAGGAAACCGTCTCTGCTGTCTGATTGACAGTCAGGAGGGTGTAATTATGGACTTACATCAATGTGCTGGCACTTTTACAAGATAAGAAATAAGCTAAACAATAGAGCAATGCTTGTTTTTCTGTGATTCAGGCCTAATGTAGTATTCATTACTGTAGTATTCTTTGTATTTAGATAATTTTATTACCTCCTAGTTACATGTAATTAAATAATAACATCTTTATGCAGATAGGAAATATTCACATATATACAATGCACGCACAGCATAAATACACACAATTCTGCATCTCTCAGTCTCAGTTACAGCTCTGTAATCATGCAGTGTTAATCCTAAACACATTACAGCAGAATGTTTGTTGTGCATGGTCCTAATTAATCCATTTATTAGACAATTAACATGCTCCTTTGAGAAGACTGAGAAGATCTCTTGTGCAGAATATGTATCATAAAGTCAGAAAAGGGAATGACAAATACATGACTGGTTTTGCTGTGTCTAGTCTAACTCCTTTAATGATTTTATTTATGTGCAGTGACTTCTAAAATATATTAAAACTATAATTTGACTTAAATTACTGTACATGGAACATGGTTCTATAAATTCACTTATAATTCACTAAATGTATCAATTTTAAAGGGAACCTATAGACCTGAAAAGTACAATAGTTAAATTGGGACTATATTATTCCCTAAAGCTTTGTTAGCACTCAACCCTCTTTTCCTCAGTAAAATTTAAGTTAGAAAATGATTACTCCCACTTTTTTAGCTCTGGGACGCATCTGCTGCAACCTCCAGCTTCTTTGCTGATGTCAGCATCCAAGCTGACATCTCCCATTATCTCCTCAAATCTATTGCTTCTCATAGAGAAGCAGTGGATTGGAACTAGGCCACGCTCCTCCAATCAAATGCTGCCTTTACTTGGTTCTAGAGGAGATGAGACAGAGAGGGGAGCTAGAGACACAGAGAGAAGGAGAGTCAGTAACACCTACAGAGAGAACGTAAAAGGCAGTGAGACTGGGAAAAAGAGAAGCAGAGCTGTCTCTGTCTCTCAATGTTGGAGAGACAGAGACAGCTAGGGTAGAAGAGACAGAAAGAGATAGGGAGAGCCAGGACAGAGGGAAAAGGAGAGAGACTGAGAGACCTGCCTAGAGGATACAGAAAGAGAGACAGAGAGGGACACACTGAAAAACTGAGAACCGGACAAGGAGAGACACAGAGGAAGGGAAAGAGACACAAAGAGACAACTTTATGTAATCCAAAGTATTTATCCACATAACGCAGCTTAGTTATAGGGGCCCACTGGTGCAGCCGAAATTTATTCAAAGAGCCTTCAAAGTGCATCAAAATACAGGACCCTGTCCCTTTATTAATAATAAATGCCCTCAACTTCATGTGTATGCCAGGAGAAGTCAGGTCTTTATTATTTATACAAGTTTTACAGTATTTCTTCGTGCCAATGCAGGTCAGTTATGTTGTGGAAGGGCTATGAGGGGGCCTGTGGCTTCTCCTAGGCTTGCTGTGAGCTCTATGTGCTGTCCCCAAGCATCCTGAGAAGGATGCTTGGAGATGCCTTTCCAGCAGGTGAGAAGGCAACCTGGCTTATAACATCAAGG